GAAGAAGAAGAAGAAGAAGAAGAAGAAGAAGAAGAAGAAGAAGAAGAAGAAGAAGAAGAAGAAGAAGAAGAAGAAGAAGAAGAAGAAGAAGAAGAAGAAGAAGAAGAAGAAGAAGAAGAAGAAGAAGAAGAAGAAGAAGAAGAAGAAGAAGAAGAAGAAGAAGAAGAAGAAGAAGAAGAAGAAGAAGAAGAAGAAGAAGAAGAAGAAGAAGAAGAAGAAGAAGAAGAAGAAGAAGAAGAAGAAGAAGAATTTAAACACAGTGCTGATTGCACGCACTCTGTGCCATATGATTAGAGTTACAAACCCCTCCCCTCTCCTGCCGGGGCGGGATCTGACGCGTCCGGATCCGCCCTGATGTCCCGGTGACAGCACGGACAAGATGGCGGCCAGCTGGGAAGTGAAGTGAGGATGTCAACATCATTTCTTCAGTTCAAACAAGTCGGGATTTTCACCACCCACCGCCTCGATCAATCCGCGATATAGTTCATGTTCCGTGCGTCTGTTTTAGGAGCCGAAACCGGGGCATTTTTACGCAAACGCACGCATGTTTTTGCGCTATGTTTTGGAAATCCGTTTGCGCAAAGAGGACCATCAACTCTCGACGAGCGATCTGGCCTGCGTGAACCTCCAAACCCCACTCCAGGGGTCATCAAAAAGAGCCTTTCAACATCCGATCGCACGCTACATCGACTGAAACTCTGCGATCGGTCCGATCGACGCTGTTTTGATTGGCGTTTGCGGTGATTTCCGCGAGGAAGAGCAGCGGTTCTCATTAAAGCTGCGGAAGTGGAGGAGAGGTTTTCACGCCAGTCATCTTTCAGATGCACTTTCTGTCCAGTGGATGCTCTTTGCTCCATTTATCCAGCTGTAAAACATCTAAGACCGCATTAAACTCGGGCAAACGGGATCCAGGGGTGCATTAGCTGTATTTTGTCCGGAAACCGTGTTTTTTGCTGACTTGCTGGCCAGTTTTAGTGGTTAAAGTTACGCCATGGCTCATTCTCCAGTGCAGGGCAGTCTGCCTGGGATGCAGGTAAAGATACACACACCATCTTTTATTTAAAGTCTACTGTGGAACATATTAAGGTTTTTAAAGTGTATATGTATGTTGTAATATCCCTCACTTTCATAAGCTTAAGAGTTTCTACTCTCTGATAAGTTGCAGAAGACCATAAATCTGTTTGACTCCCTCTTTGTCTAATTTGTTAAATAGTGGTAACGTTAAACATAAACTTGTGTTATGCAGTATGTATATTATTGCACTGTACATGCAGGGTACTTTCAGTCTTGTAGATGCCACTGGAACCCTAAATATGATATGTGCCATTCTAATAATGTAAAAGGCTGCTATATATTTTCTCACATAAATAACCAATTTATACTGTGAATGATTTAATTATAAGTTAGTTTATGGACAGTATTATTTGGAAAATATTTCAGAAATATTGTTGCATTTTTATATATTTTTTTTCTGCTTTAGTCCTGTGCTCTTAGATGATTTTATTTAAATAATTTTAATTTTTAATACATTTATTTAGTTATTTAATCTTAAGTATTATTTAGTTTTACATTTTTTAAAAACTATAATATATATATATATATATATATATATATATATATCATTTATTTATTTAATTTTTTTCTCTAAACTTTTTAATGTACAGCCTTATACTCCCATTGTATTTGCCTGTTTGGTTGCTAGTTTAAAAACCCATTTAGTAGTGGACTGGAGGTGGTTTGATTAGGTGTGGTTTACCGTATTTCAGATGTTTGAGAAACACAATGAATATGATGCTTAACAGAAGAGGCTTTGAGTCCTTCATCATCTGTGAAGCTTGGACGACAACAATTTAGAAAGCATTTCCATTAAATATTAACATTATGTTCTCGCTCTCTAAAGAGCATTAGCACCACCTTTCTGGGGCATCCTTTATGAAACCAAGATCATGTATGATTTAGGACAGTACCAATGTTAGAACCCTTTTCAGGGTCATTCTATTAAAATTTTCATGTTCTTGCCCTCTAGAGAGCATTAGCACCACTGTAACCATTTTGGGACATCCTTTATGAACCATGATCATGTATGAAGTGGGACAGTACCAGTGAAGAACCATTCTGTTCTTCAAAGATCCAAGAAAGAAAGGAAAACGTGAAGTGGAAGGGTAGAGACAAAAGGAAAGAGGGCGATGAGGGATGGAGAGATGTCTCCAGAGAGTAGCCATCATAACTGGGTCACTTGGTTGGGTCTCTATTCATGCTGGGCCATATGACTGGTTTGCCCTCAGGACAGGAGAGCAATCTGCCATGCAGAGTATTTGAAATGGCTTATCGTTCCTTTAGGTTGAAAATGCAGGAAGCCATTGTTGGCTAAGAACCTCCATTTTTTTTAAGGAGGCCCTAAAAACCAAAAAGAGTCCATGTGAGATGAGGAAAACCGGAATTATGTAGGAGGTCACAGACTTCCAGGGAGGGCCACAAGTCACCAGTTCTGAGAGCACAGAGATGGAATAAGCATTTATTCTCTAGTATTTCCTAATGAGTCACAGAGGAATTGTGGTGGTCATCCATTAGGAACATTTCAGAAGCCAGCATGCTCTCTCACCTGGCTGAAACACCCCTCATATGGCCGGCGTCAGAGTATCCAGCTCCCTAAAACACAACCACAGATGGGAGCCAAGGGATGACGTGGCCTTCTAAAAGAATTTGTTGGCTGTTACACCTGTCAGTGTGCATCGGGATCAGGATTACAGAGATCAGCTGGGAGTGTAGGCGAGCAATCAGCATTATGGCTGAATCGGGGAGCAAAGCCTTCATCATCTCCGTGATGGGACGAGTAGATGACAGCTAATGAATCTCTGAGTGATGCATTAAAGGGCTTCTCTGTGGGTGTGTGCGCTTAGAGGAAAGATGTGCGAAAATCATCTGTGTATGAGAAGATCGATTTGTGTGTGTTCATAGGATGGCATCACTAGTTGACAGCGCAGATTGGCCAAGATATTTGTCAGCACACGTCATTTATCACGGTGACTACTGTAAAATCATCTGTGTATGAGAAAATCGATTTGTGTGTGTTCATAGGATGGCATCACTAGTTGACAGAGCGCAGATTGGCCAAGATATTTGTCAGCACACGTCATTTATCACGGTGACTACTGTTCACTGGCCTCTTTTTCCCTCTTTCATGAAGACTTTTGTCATCTTTGTTGGAGTCGGTTGATTTGTGTTGTTTAAAGCAGTGGTCCTCAGCTGAGTTTGTTCTGGGAGGTTCAAATGCTGAGAAATGCATAGGAAAAAATACAACTACCCAGCATTGCAGCAAAAAAAAGAAAGTTTATAGTTGTTTAAGTCTGTGTGCCCAATCAAAATGTGTGTCATTAAATTCCCTTGGTAAAATCTAGTCAAATTAGACAGATGCAAACAAGGACAGGTTGTCTCATCCATGAAAATGATGAACGAAAATATGCAAAAATTACTCGAGGCTGAATTGATCAAAATACAGTATGAAATGTAATATTGTTAAATATTATTACAAATAAAATAATTTATTATTCATGTTGAAAACACTTGTATTTTGTATTGTATTTTTGTGAAAACTGTGATATATATTTTTTTGAAGAATCCTTTAAATAGAAAGTTCAAAAGCACAACATTTATTTGCTAGCAGAAGCTTGTGATACATTATGAATATCTTTACTGTCACCTTTGATCAATTTTATATGGCCTTGCTAAATAAAAATATTAATGTCTTTCCACAAAAAAAAGATTTCTTACTGACCCCAAATTTTTGAACAATACTGTGTATTGAATATGGGTTAACCATATAAACTAAATTATAAATTTTTCCATGCAGCTTATCAGTTGTTGATAATTTTGCACATTAATGAAAATGATTCAGATTTTAATACTATTAAGTGTTTGATCTTCAGCTTCAATCACTTTAAACCTTTGCTGGAGGTAATCAGCCCTTTCAGCCTTATATCAAAGCATGGTCAAGGTATCCCTAAACAGATTTCCATTTATTCACGGCACCCTGAGGCATTAGAATAATGTACTATAGGCTGTGGGCAAAATCTGCTCTCTTTCATCTTGTATCTTTGGCGCACTAATGCTGTGGACGATCGGCTCTGTCGTCATCCATTTAACTGGATTTCACACTTTTATGAGGTCCCCATGAAATCCTGCCTGCGTGTACCTCCCGCAGCGCCTCTCATACTGCACTGGGCAAGCTGTTCTGCTGTTGTGTTCGGCATCAATATGACTCTGCGTTCGGTAGGTTTAGAGTTTATGCTAGCAAAAGAGATTTGGAGGATTTTAAGGTCGTGAGTTTTTGCGTGCTCGGAGGATGTGCGCGGCAGCAGTTCAGAATTGTCTTAAATTCTGGTCACACTGACGGTTAGTCTAGCATGGTTTGTTTTGCTTTGTTTGAATGATCTTGGTGAAGTGGTGGTGATGTTTGGGAGGGTTTTTGAAGGCTTAAGTTTGCATGCAAGTGCTAAACCCAGAGTAGTTTGAGGTTTAGTTAGTTCTGCTGTTATTTATTCAAGTGCTGCTCAGTTTAACCACTGTGGGCTCTGCAACGAACTGCCTCATGCTAATAATATCAACGCTGTTTGTAGCTTTCTCTGTGTTTCCTTTAAGAAGGCCTCAGGGGTCTGAGATGTTCAGGGTCATGGCTGAGACCTCTGGGAACTTTGGTCCCAACCAGATGTACTTCAGTTCTCAAACATACTCGGGTCCTGCTTCAGTAGCATTTCAAAGAACTTCTAGTCAAACCAAACTTTGGATTATAAAAGCCTATTTTAAGATTGGTCATAAGTACCATTGCAGTATGTTTAACCGTAACTAACTAGGCCCAAGGCTCTTTTCTGTAACATCACGTGATTTATCAGTACTGCATGAATTAGTAAATTGTTTAATCTGCATAAAACTAATTGAAGACCGAGACTGCAATGTCTTTGTTCTTCTTTCCAGAATTTAAAAGCAGATCCTGAGGAGTTGTTCACTAAGCTGGAGAGAATCGGTAAGGGTTCGTTTGGAGAAGTGTTTAAGGGCATCGACAATCGCACACAGAAAGTTGTGGCCATCAAGAACATCGATCTGGAAGAGGCTGAAGATGAGATTGAAGACATTCAGCAGGAAATCACAGTGTTAAGCCAGTGCGACAGTCCCTTTGTCACCAAATACTACGGTTCCTACCTAAAGGTGAGTGGCCAGCATATACAAAAAGGCACTTTGAGGTCATGCCGTGTGATCTGAAGGATGTAGATCATGATGACACAGAGGGCTCAAGGAAAAGTGATATCTCCTGTGTTCAGGTCTCAAATCGTTTTAGCTACACTACCGTTCCAGTATTTTTATGCCTTTGTAAGAAATTGATACTTCTGTTCACCAAAGTAGGATTAAAGGCTTAGTTCACTCAAAAATAAATTCTTTCATCATTTACGCATCCTCGGGTGTTTCCAAAACCTTTGTTCACCTTTTAAAACATTAAAGGGGTCATCAGATGCGAAATGCACTTTTACATGTTGTTTGAACATAAATGTGTCGGCAGTGTGTGTACACAACCACCCTATAATGATAAAAATCCACCCAGTGTTTTTTTATTTTTTTTATTTTTATCTACTAAAATCATTACCCTTTTCTCAAATCAAGCCGTTCTCAGCTTCTTGTCTGTGTGACGTCACACATACCAAGGCCCCTCCCACGATAGTTGATTGACACGGCCGTCTTACCTTAGACCCGCCCTGAGTGAGCTGTCATCAGTCTGCCATTGTTTCGATGCCGGAGTAGATGTAGACAAGAATGACTCCTAAGCGACTTAAGTGTTTTGTTGTTGGATGTAATAAGGAGCATAGCAGTCGTCATTTACTCCCGACATCCGAGTTGCTGAAGACGCAGTGGATTACGTTTGTTTTTGAAGGGAATGCACCCCCCGATCTACCTAAATGCGTCTGTTCGCGCGACTCATTCGTGATCCAGCTTCACCTCCAGAAGAAGTGAGTATAAGGGTTTTTTTATGAATCTTTGCAAATTGCCTTTCCTAATAACGTGCTAGTTAGCAAGTTTCACGATGAATGCGGCTAAAGATTACCGTCTCTCTGAGAGCGGCTCGGAAGAGAGGGGCGGGGTCAGCAGAGCTCATTTGCATTTAAAGCGGCATGCAAGAAAACGGCTTGCTCTGAAAAGAGCTGATTTTGACAGGGTAAAAAGGGCATTGTTTTACACTACCATTGAGAACTTATAACCAAAGTATGTTATAGACTTTTCATTAAGACCCTAAAGAGTCATATCAACTTGTGGATAATGGGCATCCGATGACCCCTTTAAGATATTTTTAATGAAACCTGAGAGATTTTGGTCCCTCCATTGTCCAAAAATTAGATGCATCAAAAGGTTCATAAGAATATTGTAAAAGAAATCAACCTGAATCGAGCAGTTTATGAAGTCTTACGAAGAGACACAATCGTTTTTTATGATGAGCAGATTTAATTTAGGCTTTTAATCGTATATAAACTTTGATCAATGGACATGCATAGAGTACATCAAATATGGTAAACAGAATCTCAAAAGTGCTTGCCTGACATGAGGTTTGTTCTCGCATGCCACGCAAACACATTGGAGCCTGCGCAAGAAACATTGAGGTTTGTTTTTGTGCATTAAGCAAGTACGGTTGAGCTGCTGTTTACCATATGTGATGTGGGTTTTATATGGGTTTGGAATGACAGGAAGGTGAGTAATTGATGACTGTATTTTCGTTTTTGGGTGAACTGTTCAGCTTTAACCTCTGATTTCAAAGCCTCATTACTCCAGTTTATAAGAAAACCCTCCATCCTCAAGTAGTAATTTTTTGTCTTCTAATTTGGTACTAAAGAAAGCTTGTTTATCTTACCACAGTTGTATTGCACACCTCAGAACGTTCGTCAGCCAATCAGATTCAAGCATTCGGCCCCGTAGTATAAACATTATTTAATATTTTACACATTACTGGTATAATATGTTAAAACTATAAAGGCTCTAAAAATGCAATATGTGAAATGTTTTTGTTCAGCACACCTTTGGGCCCTCTGAGGGGTTCCCAGACCCCAGTTTGAAACCGTAACGTATCTCACTGTTTGTTGGTACACTCTAACTAAATGCACACTTGACCTCCTTCCCTTGTTTGTTTCTTTCAGCTGCAAATGTATTATTGTCAGAGCAAGGGGAGGTGAAGCTGGCAGATTTCGGTGTGGCCGGTCAGCTCACAGACACGCAGATCAAACGCAACACGTTTGTGGGCACACCCTTCTGGATGGCCCCAGAGGTCATCAAACAGTCTGCCTATGACTCAAAGGTGAGGGTCGCTGTAGACATGCCAAGACTGACTTGCTAGCTAGAAATCCATCATTGCGCCAGACGTCTGGCTCTGGATTTGGTGTTAATTGTAATATCTTGTCAGTTTTTCCATATGATTCATTTAGATGAGCGATGACCGGTTCCACTTCCACATGACCTGACATGAAAACATTGCCCGTTCACATTCATTTTTTTTGCTTTTCCTGCCAGGCTGACATTTGGTCATTAGGCATCACGGCGATTGAGCTGGCTAAAGGAGAGCCGCCCCACTCCGATCTTCACCCCATGAAGGTGCTGTTCCTCATTCCAAAGAACAACCCCCCTACACTGGAGGGCAGCTACTGCAAACCTCTGAAAGAGTTTGTCGAGGCCTGTCTAAACAAAGAGCCCAGTTTTGTGAGTATGCTCATAGGGGATTCCCAGAGGTCATTTCCTCCTGTCTGGTTCACTGATCCTTCTGGCAAAACAGTTTATTCTATTTCTGCTACTCGGGTCATGATCTTTTCATGCTTATCAAGGCATGTACTATAATTGTACCTGCATCAAAAGACAAAACTGAAGTTTCATTTCAAAGGACCCATCTCATTTTTTGTATCTTTCTCTCAGAGACCGACAGCCAAAGAGTTGCTGAAACACAAGCTCATCGTGCGCTATGCGAAGAAAACATCCTATCTGACAGAGCTCATCGACAGATACAAGCGCTGGAAGGCCGAACAGTCCCGAGCGGAGTCCAGCTCCGATGAATCTGACTCGTACGCTACTCAAAACACAACTAAAATGCTTTTTTATAAATGTTAAAGAAATAGTCCACCCAACAAATAATTCTGTCATCATTTACTCACCCTCATGTTGTTCCTAAACAGTATGTGTTTCTTTCTTCTGTGGAACGTAAAAGGATATTGACCTCACATTGTATTGTATTGTATCTTGTATTGTATTGTTATAGATGAAAAACAGACATAGAGTGAAGAGTTTTGGAATGACATGAGAGTGAGGAAATAATAACAGAATTGTTATTTTCAGCTGGTTTTCAACCCTGGGTTAATGTAACTAGCAGAAATATTTACATGCTGTTTCATTTCGTCATCTTCAGAAATGGTTAAAATGCCTAAACGTGTTAAATTTTTACTTTTTTCTTTTAATTATTAAGGCTAATACAAGATAAATTGAATGATCATAGCAAATGTACAGTTCCAAAGATGGAGAATGGATTAAAATAGGTTTTAAATTATTGTTGTGTGCTGTTCTTGTCCAAGAAATGTTTATATATATATATGTATATATGTATGTGTGTGTGTGTGTGTATGTGTAAAAACATTAAGGTTAACCCAACATACAGTGTGAAATTTTAAAGCTTTACTGCCCAGTAAAGGTTAGTAGTTACAAGTATGAAGAGTGTGAAATGTGGAAGATCTAAGAACTTAATCTGGGATTACTTTACTCCAGGGTTAAAGAGTCAACAAGAGTTAAAAGCTTCCATTATACAGTCATTTGATAGAAAGTGGTTTACTCACAAGCTCCTCAGTTAACTAATCAAACAAGTTAAATAATTGTCTTTAACATGATCTAGATTGCACAATCATTAAAGCTTTTTTCCCCTGCTTGTTTTTGGCCCTCTCCTAAAATCGTATACATTTCTGATGCATCCCCTTTCGTGTCTTTGTTCCACTCAGGGAACCGGATGGCCAGGCGTCCGGTGGGAATGACTTTGGCAGTGATGATTGGATCTTCACCATTCGAGAGAAAGACCCCAAAAAGCTGCAGAACGGCGCCGGTCCAACAGGAGAGGAGGTAGGTGACTGAGCTCAAGGCCACATCTGACTGTTGTGCTGTGTAAGCGGTTTCTTTATCTCACTGTGTGATGTTTTCTGCTTCCACAGGAGCCCAATAAGAGGCCTCTGTCCCAGAGTCTGTCCACTGTCATCACTCCAGTCTTAACTGAGGTAAGACATATCCATCACCACCACAGCTGAACCGTCAATACCAAAATCAGAAATCCATTAATGTTTAAATGCTGATTTGTATTTGTACTTACCAGCAGTGAGGCCACATATTGGCTGTGGTGGCAGTGGTTCAACTTTTTGGGACCCCAAAGTGTTTTCTTATGCCTTAAGTAAGGTCTCATTTCTTTATTTCACTATAGGATTTCTAGCTTCGCCACTGGTATAAAAAAGATATCAGCATGAAGATTAAAAGTGGCCCTTGAATGCTTTATTATGTCTTAAAAGCATCTTTTAAAGGCAGCCGTCACTCCCTCAGGCCTCTTACTAATCAGTATGGAGCAATGAGGTATTTGAGGCGGAGAGCGGAAAATAGAGGGATGCTGGGAAAAAAGCCCAGGGACAAGTGACTGCACACTAATTTGTTCCACCCTCTCCTTCGTTCAAGGACAAATCCTTCCATTTCCTGTCATGCTCTTCATGAGAGTGCAGTGCACTGTAGTCTAGACTCTTGACTCCACAAGAAGATTGTTTTTAGAGTAGGCGATATCATGATACATATTATGTAATAGAAGAATGTTGAATGGTAAAGATATTTTTCTATATCCCGGTATATATTCAGCACAATTTAAAACAATCAACAAATCAAAGTACTCCAAACCCTTTGTGACATTTTGCCAATTATCAAAGGGAGCAATTTGGTTATACAAAAGTTTCTTATATAGTATAAATAATCTAGTAATATGATTAACTGAATAATTTGACAGTGTCATTAAACTATTACTAAACTAATAGTCTTGACAACAGTGTTATTAATGAGAGGGTGAATAAAAAAGGTAATAATTTACTTTAAGGTATCCTTGTTACACGTTACACGTTACATGTACTTAGTATTATAATAACAATAAATTGTGTAATTACATTCTCCTAAACCTAACTCTAATCCTAACCCTAACCATTTAGTGAGGACATGTAGTTAATTAATATTACTCAGTTCTTAAATGTATAATTACACAATAAAATAAAGTGTAACAAAAAAAAACATCTTCCAAACCATGTATTTACTTAAGTATATTTTCTTATACCTATGATCAATGATTGAAAAAAATAAATATATATATATACATATATAAATATATATAAAACAGTGCCCTCCATAAGTATTGGAACAGTAAAGACAAAATTGCTCTGTTTGCTGTGGAGTCAAGAAATCTGTAAATATGATTTAAAAGATGAATATGAGACAAAACTACAGAATGTCACATTTTATTATTGGGTGTTTCAACACATAAATGTTTTACCAGCTAAGAAGGTCGGCACATTTAGAGTTCAGATCCCACTATCTGATGTGAGCATAAGTATTGGAACAGTTGCCTCATAGGTCTTTCTGAGTGATCAGCTGTATCCTTTTGCATTAATTCTTCAGATATTAAAAGCAGGGAATGTGTCGTTATCAGTTATATCCATTGCTTTTGCATTCTGATTTTTGGATTTGATGACGACACAAACTAGGATGAAGACGAGGGAGCAGACTTTGAGAGAAAAGCAAGCAATTTGGATGCTAAAAGAAAAGAGGAAGTCAATTAGAGCTATAGCAAAAACAAAGGGCATGGAGAAATCAAGAGTTTGGAGACCACCACCAGCGGCATCAGCAACCAAGAACGACCTGATCGGCTGAGAAAAACAACAGCTGTTAATGACAGACATATCATAAAAGCTGTGAAAATGAACCCTAAAATACGGGCCTGTAAAATCACCAACAACCTCCAGAAAGCTGGAATGATGCTCTGACAATCTACTGTCCACAGGAGACTTTGACACAGAATTACAGAGGCTACACAGCAAGATGCAAACTTCTGACCAGCACCAAAAATAGAAAGGCAAGATTAGAGTTTGCAAAAGCCAGTAGAGTTTTGGAACAGAGTTTTATGGACAGGTGAGACAAAGATTAACCTTTATCTAAGTGATGGGAAAGCAAAAGTGTGGAGAAAAAAGGGAACTGCCAATGATCCTATACATATAGCCCCATCTGTAAAGCATGGTGGAGGTGGTGTCTTGGCATGTGCATGCATGGCTGTATCTGGAACAGGCCCTTTCAATTTTAATGATGACTTCATGTATGATGACAGTAGCAGAATTAATTTGGAAGGGTACAAAACCATCTTGGCTATCAATATTCAAGAAAATGCCACCAGACCCATCAGAAAGCACTTCACATTGTATCAGGACATTGCCCAAGTCAATCTCCAGATTTAAATCTGATTGAACATGAATTTCACCAGCTGAAGAGGAGACTGCCCTAAACAAGCAACAGTTGGAGATGGCTGCATTAAAGGCTTGGAAATGCATTTCAAAGGATGAGACCAAGAGTCTGGTTCTATGGTTCGCAGACTTACTGCTCTGATTGCACGCAAGGGATCTGCAACTAAATAATAGCTTTTAATCTTTTTCATCTGCCTTAAGTTCATCTGTCCCAATACTTGTGCTCACATCAAATAGTGGGATGAACTCTGAAAGTGCTGTCCTTTTTATTTGGTAAAACATTTATGTGCTGAAACGGCTAATAATAAAATGTGACATTCTGTAGTTTTGTCTCATATTCATCTTTTAATCATATTTACACACAAACTAGGATGAAGACGAGGGAGCAGACTTTGAGAGAAAAGCAAGCAATTTGGATGCAAAAAAAAAAGAGGAAGTCAATTAGAGCTATAGCAAAAACAAAGGGCATGGAGAAATCAAGAGTTTGGAGACCACCACCAGCGGCATCAGCAACCAAGAACGACCTGATCGGCTGAGAAAAACAACAGCTGTTAATGACAGACATATCATAAAAGCTGTGAAAATGAACCCTAAAATACGGGCCTGTAAAATCACCAACAACCTCCAGAAAGCTGGAATGATGCTCTGACAATCTACTGTCCACAGGAGACTTTGACACAGAATTACAGAGGCTACACAGCAAGATGCAAACTTCTGACCTGCACCAAAAATAGAAAGGCAAGATTAGAGTTTGCAAAAGCCAGTAGAGTTTTGGAACAGAGTTTTATGGACAGGTGAGACAAAGATTAACCTTTATCTAAGTGATGGGAAAGCAAAAGTGTGGAGAAAAAAGGGAACTGCCAATGATCCTATACATATAGCCCCATCTGTAAAGCATGGTGGAGGTGGTGTCTTGGCATGTGCATGCATGGCTGTATCTGGAACAGGCCCTTTCAATTTTAATGATGACTTCATGTATGATGACAGTAGCAGAATTAATTTGGAAGGGTACAAAACCATCTTGGCTATCAATATTCAAGAAAATGCCACCAGACCCATCAGAAAGCACTTCACATTGTATCAGGACATTGCCCAAGTCAATCTCCAGATTTAAATCTGATTGAACATGAATTTCACCAGCTGAAGAGGAGACTGCCCTAAACAAGCAACAGTTGGAGATGGCTGCATTAAAGGCTTGGAAATGCATTTCAAAGGATGAGACCAAGAGTCTGGTTCTATGGTTCGCAGACTTACTGCTCTGATTGCACGCAAGGGATCTGCAACTAAATAATAGCTTTTAATCTTTTTCATCTGCCTTAAGTTCATCTGTCCCAATACTTGTGCTCACATCAAATAGTGGGATGAACTCTGAAAGTGCTGTCCTTTTTATTTGGTAAAACATTTATGTGCTGAAACGGCTAATAATAAAATGTGACATTCTGTAGTTTTGTCTCATATTCATCTTTTAATCATATTTATATATATATATATACACTACTCACAAAAAGTTAGGGATATTCGACTTTTAGGTGAAATTTATAGAAAATGTAAAAAGTCCATACTTCAGTCATATTATATCATGAAAGTGGGGCATTTAAAGGGTTAGTTCACCCAAAAATGAAAATTCTGTCATTAATTACTCACCCTCGTGTTGTTCGAAACCCGTAAGACCTTCGTTCATCTTCGGAACACAATTTAAGATATTTTTGATGAAATCTGAGGACTCTCTGACCCTCCCATAGATAGCAAGGTAACTCACGTTCAAGGTCCAGAAAAGTACCAAGATAATCGACAAAGTAGTCCGTGTGACATCAGTGGTTCAACTGTAAAGTTTTGAAGCTACGAGAATACATTTTTGCGCAAAGAAAACCCAAAGGAAAACGCGTTCTCGACAGTATCATGACGCGAGCATCTGGCGGCGCTGACCCAGATCCAGCGTGATGGCGCTGCCACACGCTCACGTCATGATACTGTCATGAACGCGCGTCCACAAGTGACGCAGTAGAGGCGAAAATGTGGAATAAAGTCGTTATTTTTTTGCATAGCTTCATAAGTTTACAGTTGAACCACTGATGTCACACGGACTACTTTGTCGATCATCTTGGTACTTTTCTGGACTTTGAACATGGTAGTTACCATGGTAGTTACCGAAAATATATAAATATATACAGGTGTGTGTGTGTATATATATATATATATATGTATATGTGTGTGTGTATGTGTGTATATATATACATATATGCATGTGTGTATATATATACATGCATGTGTGTATATATATATATGCATGTGTGTGTATGTGTGTATATATATACATATATGCATGTGTGTATATATATACATGCATGTGTGTATATATATATATGCATGTGTGTGTATGTGTGTATATATATATATATATATGTATATGTGTGTGTGTATGTGTGTATATATATACATATATGCATGTGTGTATATATATACATGCATGTGTGTATATATATATATGCATGTGTGTGTATGTGTGTATATATATATATATGCATGTGTGTGTATGTGTGTATATATATATATGCATGTGTGTTTATGTGTGTATATATATATGCATGTATGTGTGTATATATATATATATATGTATGTGTGTGTATGTGTGTATAAAATGAAAACGGTCATCACTGAACTGTGCTCAATCTGGTTGCATTAGAAAATGACTCGCATTTCCCCAAAATTGTTTTTGTTTTAGACTTCACAGTTGGAATAATTTTGGTATAATTACAAGTCGCAATGACGTG